TTCGTGGGTTCGCGCCTCACCAACTCCCGAAAAGTCCACGGCCGCGCGTGGAGTTTTCGGATTTTCTTCATGTATTTAACGTCTAAACAAGGGTCAGTTTCCCATAGAAAGTTTTCCCGAGAGGGACACCTATGTTTCTCTTATTTTGCGTTGCCTTATTCAATCAATTCATCCTATTGTATGCCTGGCCGAACCCACGATGGCTATTTAAGTCTAAGGCTAAGCCTATCCATATTTAAACGAGCAATTATTTATTGTAATATCGTCACAATGCCGGGCTACAATTTTTAATCATATTTTTAAGTTTTTTAATTTGAATATATGCTCTCCACCTCAAAATAGTAGTAGTGTTCTTGTACATCATATTTTTCTTTAACAATAGAGTCGAGCAAGTCATCTATTTACTGCTTTCAGGGAAAAATTTTTGAATTAAAATAACATGACTTCCAGTTTCCATCTGACATACAAATATTGTTAATCGTGGTCTCCTGCCACTACGGCTTCCAAGTGTTGACTCGAGTTTCATCTATCTAACTCCGTTCTCGAGCTAAGGAAAGGCAGATGGACGGACAGACGACAGTGGGAATTTATAATGAAATCTTGTTTTGTTTGGCAATTTATTAAATAAAGCATTACTTATTTAAAAATGCAAATTAAGAAATGATGTACTGTTTATGTAAAATAATGTAACGTATATTTATAAAAATTAATATTAAAAGCTAACCAAAAATTTAGTTCTTTTCTCATGATAAACATTTATCCTGTCCGGTCATGTTGATGAGCTTCAAATTCTATAATGGAGCTACTTAGTGTGAGGATCCGAATCCAGACTTTCCGTGTGTTTACATCATTTGTTCATAACGTCAAATCATAACTATAAACTTGATAAATAACTGTCAACTTTCACACCTGGGAGAAAAACATCTGTTAACTTCTCAGGCCTGACAACGATGTTTTCTCATCACCTTTCGACCTAAAATCTCGATTTCAACATTACAACATTAGAACAGAACAACAAAGGGACGCAGTCGTCGCCCGTCCTTCGAAAGAGTCAAGTTGTCACCCGTACCTTGTCCTAAGTGCCTCAATATTCGGATATCTATGAATATATCATTTTATTCTATGTTTTTATATCCTACTAAAATATCATCGGAAACCATCGTCTAACACCTTTGCGGATACTGTGAGTTCCATCAGGCTTACGGATATTTACTCTACAGGATACCCGAATTGATATCCCGAACTTCCTCTCTTTCACAAAGAACTTTCGAGAATCTCAATCAAGATATCAAAAAAGGTATTTATCGCCACGCGCAACTTCTATAAACTCTCTCTCTCTCGGGAATCGCAAAAACGTTAATATCCTATATATATATAATATCTATCAATCGTACAAATGTATCTAAAAGCTAGCATATTTAAATCGAAATGTTGTGTGGCCTATAAGTACCCATTAAATAGTTGTTACGTTAATTCGTCTCTGAGTAAGTCACTTCCGGTGAGCTGTCTCTCCCTTCATCCCCAATCCGTTCGCTCACACACGCCATCGTTCGCGTGAGAACCTAATGGTTTCTGTGTCTGTTCGTAAAGACACAATGGTGTCAGTCCTGACGAAACTTGTCATTGCGATCTTCGCCGACGCGATGTCGACCCTTCGGTCACGTGGTGCCGAAGTATAGGGAGGCCCTTCGGCATTGTCACATCAGGATTGACAAAATTCAGAGTAATAGTAGAGTTTTATGTACTGTACAGTATATATGTTTAAATATAAAGCATATTTCATCATGTTTTCAAGGGCACTCTCTAGGATTTTATGCTGAAAATCTTTCAATGATCTAATGCCTTTTTGATTAATTTGCTGTATATGATATATTCTGCAAGTTTCATGCAAGAATATTAAATGAATTAATGCTTGTGTAAAGTAGTGACCTTTTAGCAGAGTGGGGATAAAAGAGGCGCGACCTTGTCAATTGGACCCACGTGCAGTCGGGTAATACCACTTGTAAGGTATTGACTTGTAAACAAGGGAAAACAAAGGAAGCGCCGGCTTTGTCAATTGGACCCACCTGTAGTCAGACGTTAGACCATGTGCCATATGGTAAACAACTAAATGTAAACAAGTGGCGGACGTTTTTGTAAGCTTCACTCTCGTCGAATGACGACGGACCCGAGTGTAAGCTGTTCGGGCAAGAAGGTATTGTGATTGGTCGGAAGTCCCCGTCCAAAAAACCCTTAAATTGCGGGGCGAACAAGAGAGGTGAGAGAGGGGCAAGAGACTGGTACACGGTAGTCTCAGGCACTTGGAAGGCCCGCTGAGCGTAGAGAGAGTGTTCTCCTCTGGTAAACATCTCAGGGACGGGTTAGTGCGGAGACTGGACGGACCGTGCAGTTGAGCCAACTCCACGAGCTGACTGAGTCCTCCTCAAAGTTTAAAAGTTCCCAGAAACCAAGCTAAAATCTGTAAATAAACTGTAAACATTATCAATTTGAGTGTGGAGGTGTGCTTTCCATCGAACCTGGATCACTACATCGAATCGTGATACACATGGAAACCAACTCAACGAGACGGAGTTGGGAAAGAACATCACTAAGATCTTCACTGCTGGATTTTTTAGTGTTTAATGTATGAGCAAGGCGGACTTTAGCTTAGGCAAACTAAGCTAATTTTGAGTCCAGATCTGACAGGTCCCGTAGATCAATTTGTAAATTTATATATAAATGAAACAGAGTTTATGTGTTTAGTAAACAATGCAAACATAGTAACCTTCGCAGCTTCTCCAAAAGAATACAGTGGAAAATATAACAAATAAAGTTACTGATTCTTTATTTTGATGGCCCAAATCTCATGTTTTGCTTGTGACCTAAAATATACTTAATGTAACATTGGCTACGAGCACATTTCTAAATAGAAATATATGAGAAGTTTTAAATATGTCAACTACGTAACGTTGTGTTTCAAATAAAGTCAACAAAAAATTAATTGCAATTCAAAAATATATTTACTAAAAAATTAATAAATTTTAAAATACTTCATTTAAAGTTATAAAACTTGAAAAAAATTTTATTGCATAAACTCATGTGCGACAAATGTCGTGCTATAAATAGTCAAATTTATTTTTGTTTGAAAAATTTAAATATTGAGTACATTAAAAAAATTTTTTATATGGATTATATAATTATTTTTGTTTGAACAACATCTAAAATGACTAAATTAATAAAACTGGCTTATTATAACACAGGAATCGATATTTTTCATATAGCAAAGATGTTTACAGAAGCTAAGTAATATTGATTTATTGGAAAGTTTAGATATTCGAAGGAGATGCAGTTCCTTTAATGCTATTTTATTGATGAGGCGCTTTGCAAACTTTGATGCTACTTTTTAAGCTATTGAAATCGGAAATTTTATCTCAATAGAAATTTGGATGATCTTTATTCAGGATTTAAAATGATTTACTGGAGTAGGGAAGATTAAGGATTCAATAAGAAAAACAACAGCAATTGAAAAAAAAAATGCTCACACAATTACTAATTTTGGTAATTAATTTTGAACTATTGTGAATATAACGGCAAAGAACACTAGAAAAATACCTCAGGTGAATTTAATTATTATTTTATTTTATGTAGAATTCGTATGGTGATAAAAATTTTTGATTTTTAGTAGAATATAGTAGGAAATAACTATGGAATTTTCAACCTGTAATTGCATTCATTCACGAGCAAGATCAAAAGAAATTATTTTTACATGTTGGCCATGTCTTCTTCGAAATATTTATGGAATTATGAGATTAAGTGGTCTGAAAGTAGGAAAATGCAATAAAAAAGATTCGAATTATTGTATATTTATTACGGTTTTTTTATTCGTTACTTCTTTATTTTTCTTTATCTTGTTCTTAATGCAATACTTTGGATTTTATGATGATTTTCCAATTTTGATTGCATTTCGTAATATTTTCGATTCTAGTATTAATGATATATTATTAATTGCATTCGATTATGGTTTCTTCATAGCATCAATTACTTTTATTTTTAATTTTACATCATTACCTACAAAATCAGAGAAAGAAACAGACAGATTTTGGATGCAAACTTATAACAAGATAACCAATTCCTATTCACAAAAGCTAGAAAGATTCATAGTTAAAGTTCAATATATTTTATGTAAGATTATTCTTCTTATTATTATGTTATTGATAAGCTCATTTTTTCTTAAAATATCGTTTAAATTATTATTATCCTTGGTAAATTATTTTGAAAAATTTGAAGCATTCTTGTACTCAACAGTGATCTTTCTTTACTGTTTCTATGCAAGTCTAATAACAATTTCGATAGGGATGTATATAGGTGTTGTTTGTTTGGCCATGAAAAAGAAATTTGATGAAGTTTATCATCATTTTGATTATATTTTACGTAATATGAATGAAATTAACAGCTTAAAATCCATTCAAAATCGCCATTACATCGTTTGTTTAATGATGGGTGCAGTTGACATTTTGTTTCGATATATCTTGTTCCAGTTATATATACTTTTCATTCCTTTGCTATTTCTATGTTTGAAAGGACTCTTCCATCATAAAAAAGTAGCAGCTAAAGTTATCATTTATATTATTGCCAATATCTCATTTTTGTCAATAACTTCTATCACTCTCTTCTTCTCAGGCCTGACAACGATGTTTTCTCATCACCTTTCGACCTAAAATCTCGATTTCAACATTACAACATTAGAACAGAACAACAAAGGGACGCAGTCGTCGCCCGTCCTTCGAAAGAGTCAAGTTGTCACCCGTACCTTGTCCTAAGTGCCTCAATATTCGGATGTCTGTGAATATATCATTTTATTCTACGTTTTTATATCCTACTAAAATATCATCGGAAACCATCGTCTAACACCTTTGCGGATACTGTGAGTTCCATCAGGCTTACGGATATTTACTCTANATAAAACATAATATATTGTTATTATTAAATATTAAAACAATAATGTATAGAAATAATTAATTAAATTAGGCATATAGAATACGAAATGCTCTTATTGAGTTAGCTGATAGAGAAATACCATCTAGAGAAAGAATTCAGGTATGTTAATAGATGTTTAATAATTACATTTTTAAATTTAAAAACTAAAAAGTATATTTCTTAATTTAAAAATTAACATATTTATAGGTTAGTATATATCTAAATCGATTAAAAGGACCGGTTATTGGATTATCTTGTATGGGAATTTTTACAGTTACCCCCTATACCTTAACTGCTGTAAGCATTATTTTTAAAATAAAATAATAGATATTGCTATAAGAATAATATTTACCAAATAATTAAAATAATATTTAACATAGAAAAATTATCTTAATTAAAATTAATCTTTTAATTGCTGATTTAAAAAAAATGTAGTGGTATTTTATAACTTGTGATTTAAATAAAGTAAAATTAAAAATAAATTCTAAAAATTTAATAAATAGTTTAATTTAAAGATAAATTATGCTTTATTGTTTTACAAAAATTATAAATATTAAAACTTTTTAATATTTTTACAGGTATTCAGTCTACTGTTAACTTATCTGTTGATGTATTATCAGTTTGAACAACAAAAAAGTTATTCTTCAGATTCACGGGAAAATCTATAAGAATGAACAATTAAAAAGTTTCTTTAATAGTTATTGTTTTTAGATATTTAGTTAAACTTACTAAAAATCAAAAGACGGGAAAATATGAAAGAGATGAGAACATGGAATCTGGCAGATGACGTTACAAAGAAAGCAAAGGTTAGAAATTAATTGATCAGAAGGCTTTCAAATGGAAAGACTATCAATTCGCTTCCCGTGAAATAGTATGCATATGTTATAGCATAGAAGGAATAAATGAGAATGTGAATCGTAGAGTTATATAACCCAAGTTATAGTATGGGAATGCTCAAGAGAACACGATCTAATAGAAGTTAGTGGATTGTGTAACAGTGGACATGAAGAGACTGAGTTAAGAGAAAGTGGGAGAATTGTATATAAGAAGAGGCCTCAACTTCTTTTTGACTTTTTATGTTGTAATAGTGAACAACCAAAATAATGAATCCGTTGCAACAACCCCTTAAAGTGGGACTAATAATGCCGCGAATAAAAATAATATATTCTAGTATCTTATAAATATCAGAAATTGTGCTTTGAGTTTATATAAATTGTAAATTTATAAATATTTTTTGTAAATTTGTATATAAATATCTTTTAAATTGTAAATTAAAGTAATTATAGGCTTACTTAACTAGATCCAAATATAGTGAATATGTAATATCTATACAATATAGATTCTGGTACGTTAATATTCAGCTATCATCGTTAGGGGTCAACGATAATAAACGTATGTAAATATGTCATTCTAGCTTTCACTGAGTTTGCTTCTGTTGTAAGTAATTTTTGCAATATTTTCACATATATATTTGTTTATTAACTATTAAATTACCATATTATTCTAAATACTAAATTTTGAGCATAAAATTGTAGGTATAAGCGTTCTATTTTTCATTGATTTACGATTTTTATTAATAAAATATATTATTTAGTGTTATTAGCATTATGGAATTTTATATATTATCCAAATGTATTCAAGATGATATTATATTTACTTCAGGGGATAATAGTTATAAAATATTGCAATTTGAATTAAGGACGTTTTAAAATATATCAAATTTCATTCGGCAAACAAATGACAAAATATTTAATTTCGGTATTCAGAACATTTTCGATTAGATTTTTACGAAAATTTTTTTAAGCATAATTTAGCAAAGTCCCTAATATACAGTTTTCGATAATCTGATCTTCTATGTTAGCTAGCAGAAGAATTATTTTTCGCATTTTGTCTTTTCAATGCCAGATCTTTAGTAATATATCTTTTGATTAACTCATTCAATTTAAAACAGAGTGCAGGAATCAAATTATGTTTGCCCTTTTCTAAACTAGTGTCTTTCAACCAGTTCACATTATTGGGCTGCAATTTAAAAAAACTGTAGACCTATAAATTCCCACTGTCGTCCGTTTGTCTGTATGCCCTTCCCTAATCTGAATGAAGTTAGATACATAAAAATCGCGATCAGATATGGAAAGCTTAGGTTAGGAAGTCCGGATTAACTATATATGAACTTCTGGTTTGAACTGGAAGTCATGTTATTTTTAATTCAAAAATTTCCCCCTGAAAGGAGTTACATGACCGGCACGACTTTATTGCTAACAGAAAAAGTATGATGTACAGAGACAAAACACTACTAATTTGAGGTGAAGAACACATATTTTAAATTAAATAAATTAAAAAACATGATTAAAAATTGCAGCCCTGCATTGTGACAACGTTACAATAAAATAATTGCTCGTTGATCAACAAAAAGTTATTCTAAAATTAATTTTCTTAGTTTATATGCATTAATTTAGACATAACTATATATATGTACTGTACGTATGTAAATACATTCATATATAACCATTTGTACTCCGTATAGCGAAAAAACACGAAAGCTCTCCGCCATTCTTAAAAGATTGAGAAATGTCGCTGTAAACATTACACAGAGACTTGTTTTCATGAACTTCTAAGAAGTACGATATTAGCAATCAAATGACTGCTGATGTCGTTAACGAAAATATCTTTATCTGGAGAGTTGTTTCTAAGCCAGTTGCAAAGACCCGTTTTCTACCCCTTAGAAAATGGAGATAAATTACTTTTAAGAAAAAACTATAAATAGAATTTTTACTTTCTTAAAATATATACTGTATACTTAATTTTTTTAATGTATAAGTCTGTTTTCATTTTGTTTTATTTTAAATTTCATTTTAAAAACATTAATGATTATTGCCTAAGTTCGAAAATGAATAAATAAACTTTCTTCTTATTTCATTACTGAGTTACTACATTATTTTTGTATTTATATATAATACGATATTTTTCATTAAAATTCTAATATTATAAATCTATTATAATATATCTACACTTACTCACTATTGTAATAATTGGCAAGTGTAGGCATAATATAATAGGGACTGCTTTTACCTATTGTAATGGACATACACTCAGAGCCGGCCCTACCATAGGGCGAACGGAGCAGTCGCTCCAGACGCTAAGTCCTAGGGGGCGCCTCAGTGGTAAAAAAAGTAAAGGAAAAAATATATTTTTTTCACTTTTCGATATTTTAATTGCAAGCGTGTGGTCAGTATGTGAATGGCCTTATCTGTTGAGACGCGCGTGAGTCGAGTGCGTGGGCGGGGTTCCACCCCCGGGCGCCATAATAGGATCTCGCTCCATCCTAAAACTTGGCTCGGGCCGGCACTGCATACACTACTCATTATAAATGTATACTTAAAATGGTAGGTGTGATGGCTGGCTGGATGGTCGAGATGGCCGAGGCGTTAAATGTCTGTCTGTTGCTTTGGGAACTTGGTTTAGAGTTTAGGTCAAGAAGCTCAAAAATTTTTTAAAGACGATCTATCATAGATATTTTAAAACTCGTTCCTAAACCCATGGTGGTTATTATGGTAAAGGCCTTCTTAGTCCACTCAAGAAGGAAAAATGGCCTAGACTTAGCCACTAATTTAATACAAAATATCTTTAAAAATCCTTAAAAAAGTTTTCAATGCATTATAAATATCAAAGTTATTAATATTACTGTCAGATTCGTATTTTAAACCAGTTTAGGATATTTTGGTAATTAATTGCATGAAAAGACATATTTTATATCATATATGAATTTTAACAAATAAAGTATTTTACTCTCTTAAATAACTTTGTAGTTATTTTCAATCTAGAAATACGTTTATGCACAGCATTTAAGGTTATTAACGATTTATAAGTTATGAAACAAAAGAGTATTTAGCATTTTGAGAAGATAAGGGCTTGTTATATATAACTTTTATTTGGTATACTTATCATATTTTATATACATTCACTAAGATCCCAAAATAGAGTTGATCTCAAGCTGTGGACAGTGTTGCCTTTGTATTTAAAGCGTTAAAGTTTATTGCTTTTGATATCCAGGGAAATTTGTACAACAATATATTCTATTTATACTGCATCAATTATTTGTTTACATACTTACAAAGACAGGAAAATGTGATTTATGCAATTTTACATATTAATTTTTGTTAAGTAATTAAACTAAATTACTTATGTTAAAATTTTCTAAACTCATATTTTTTCTCACTATTTTATTTCCCGGATAGAATTGCAAACAATTTTAACATAGCTGATGCACGATTAGAACACGGGTAAGCGGGTAGAAATGGGATATACTTAATGCGCAAAATAAAAAAAAGCAGGAAAGCACGAAATAACGTTAAACCCACACGCAAGCAGCAGTGACCTATCTATCATGTGATCAGAAAATGGCGTCTTATTATCATGTGACACTCTCTCGACCAATCACAGATAACAATTATTGGCACAAGGCACATAAAAGCATGAAGTTACTTTTTTATATATAGGACTTTAAGAAAATTTTACTCTTTGGCGCCATCTAATTTCGACTTTTTCAAGCGATGTTGTATTGTTAAATTCGATATAAATAAATAATAAATTATTATTCATTATGCTAAATATTAACAATATTAAATATTTAGCTATACAATAAAGGTTATTGATCTACAAAAATTAAAGTATATTTTATCTCCGAATAAAATATACTTTATTATTTTGTAGATCAATAACCAAAACAGACCTTTTACAAAGCTACCTAACCTAAAGATAAATCCAGGAACGAAACAATTTTCTACGTAAAATACCGTTATAAGCTGGAAACCTGTCTAACACGGAAACAAGATTTTTTTGTTATCAGTTGCATAACAAACCTGAGTAAAGTGGAATTATCAGCGTAACAGCAGTTGAATTCTAAATAAAAATTTGTTATAATTTCTTAGATCGGAATATGGTCATTGATTTGTTTAATCACTTGCTTGCTATTTAAAAGTGCCTATAGCTTGTTTCATATAGAACGAATTATTATCCTATTAGGCTTAAGTGCTTGTTACTTGTGTATCCATTATAGTAAATTATTAAAATTGCAATTACAATATAATCGATAGTTTCAGTTTGTGAAAGATAACAAATAAAAGATTTTATTAATACAAAAATTCTGTATTGAACTTTTTTTATTTTTGGCTCTTTATGTCCAGTGGGCAGTAAGAAGGCCTTTTTCCATACTTATCGTGGGTTCGGCCAGGCCAACAATAGAAGTTGCCGGGTAATGAGTGACGAGACATATCCAAGACAGATTACTAGTGAAGATTACAATTTTATTGTGACAGCGTCAAAAAGCCGGGTTGAAATTTTTAATCATATTTTTAAATTTATTTAATTTAAAATATATGTTCTCTATCTCAAATTAGTAGTATGATGTACAGTGTCAAATTAGCATGACACTGTACATCATACTTTTCCTGTTAGCAATAGAGTATCTAGTTGATAATATAGATAGTATATAGAATGTAAAAAATAATAGTTCTTAAAATTAAGTATTCAACCAGTACATATCACCTAATACAAATAGTACATCTATTAATTTGAGCACCGTATAGGCTATGTAAAATATAATATTAATTTCATTATAAGGAGATTGATTTAATTAATTTTAATAGTAATGTAACTAAAGAATAATAAAGGTTTTCTAAAATTAATCTTGACATAAATAGTTTTATTTAGAATGTGTAATAATTTATGACAGTAATATATGTATTTAATCGATAGCAAATTTCGTGATTTATTACTAAAATATTTCTAAAAAATTGTTCTATAAAAATTAATGTAAAAGTAATTTATTATTTTCGTTTTCTTCGCTGCGAAAATTAAATTTATTTATTATTAATGAGCCACGATTTGCTTCTGAATCAGTCTTTTAAAAATTGATTTAGAAAAATGTTTTAAGCCTTATAATTTGATATATTTTGTTTTTTGAAGAGAGAAAAATTTTATGTCAGTACTGATGAATTCAAAATAATTGAGATGATTTTATAATAAGGTATATTTTAAAAAATAATATCAATTTGTTTTAATGTAAATGTAGTGAGTCGCGATTGGGCTGGTATATCTCTCGGATAATCAAATCTTCATAAATAATCGTAAACAGTGCAATAAATGCACTGTTTACGATTATTTTATTTCGATGATCATAAATGTATAATAAATAAATAGATAAATATTTTTCAGAAGAAGGTTTTTCTGATAA